TCTCACCACTTTGTCCCAGACCCCCTTCCCCCCCGCAGGGCCTGAGAAAGCCTGTCACCTCCCTGCCTTGTCTCCTGGGCCATAGCCTCTCTTTTCTCAGTGTGTCTTTTGCTAACCATGCTCTTTTTGTATAAATAAAAGATAATTTGAAGTTGTTCTCTCAGCTCTTAGCCTTTGTGAGCCTGGTACTTTCGCTAAGCCCGGGTGGGCTGGGAAGAAAAAGGGAAAGAGAAGACTCAGAGTGGTGCAGTGGGTGGGAGAGAGGCCGACTGAGCCTGGCCTCACCTTGCCTCCTCCTGTCCATTGACCTTGGGAGGGACCCTGCCCCTGTCCGCGCTCAGCCTTCCCAGCTTTTAAGTAGCGGAAAGAGTTGAGCTCCAGTAGCTGAGTCTCGCCTGGCTTCGCTTGAGGCCGCCAGGGGGCAGTGCAGGACCTTGGCCGCCTCCACAGCTGGAAGACAGTCGTCAGCCTCGGCCTGGAGGGTTCTACCTCTGGATTAGCAGTGACGCCTGGCGAGGTGGAAATGCCAGTTCACTTAAGCCACACCCTCCTGCCTTAATGCCCTAACAGCCTAAGCTGAATCAGCCCTCAGAGGCCCTGAATGGGCCCCGTCTCTGACTCCACGGAGAGGAGAGGGCGCACTGCTGCTTCCCTCCGCAAGCGCCTGTGAAGCAGCGCCAAGGGGAGAGGGCTGGCTTCCAGCATGGGTGCTGCAGTCCACCGTCCCAGGGCTTTCAGGGGACCGGGTGTGGTCCCACGAGCCCAGCCCACAGGTGCCCTAGCCTTTGCCCAAGGTCTGGTGGCTGGTTGGCCACGCTTGTCGACCCGGAAGGTATAGGTGGGCCCACAGAGAGGGACTAGTCCGAGGATCGACTGAGGCCTCTGCTTGGGTGTGTAGCTGAATGACCCTAGAGACCTGGGGCGCTGGAAGCCCTCACCCCAGGTAGAGGCAAGTCGGAGACCAGCTTCTGGCCCGAGTGGGGGAGGATGCCTTTCCCCTGAGGGCCGGGGAGGGTGGGACCCTGCCGCCAGGGTGGGAACAGAAACCACGAGTGTCTCGAGTGTTCCAGAAAGCACACAGGGAGTGAAAAGCACGGGCATCTGGAGAACTGCGCTTCCCCCGCTGCCAGGGGAAGGAAGGAGGGAAGGAAGGGGCCGGGCTCCGCCGCGGGCGGGGACCCCGCAGGGTGGGGAGGGCCCGCCGGGCCCA